GACGGGGCCTCGCTGCGGGCGGCTCTGCTGGCTTGCCTGGACGGCGGCTGCGGTGCGCGCCACGATGGCGTGCTGGTGGTGGGTACCACCTCACGGCCGGCGACCCTGGACGAGGCGACTCGCCTGCGTTTCGCGCTGCGCTTGTACGTGGCGCTGCCCGACAGCGCGGCGCGCGGGCAGATTCTGCAGAGGGTGCTGGCTCAGCAGGGCTGTGCATTGAGCGAGCGGGAGCTGGCCGCCCTGGTGCAGGGCACCCAGGGCTTCTCAGGCGGCGAGCTGGGGCAGCTGTGCCAGCAGGCAGCGGCCGAGGTGGGCCTCTCCGGGCTGCAGAGGCCCCTTTCCTACAAAGACGTAGAGGCTGCTCTAGCCAAGGTGGGCCCTCGGGCTTCCCCCAAGGAGCTGGACTCTCTAGTGGAGTGGGACAAAATGTATGGCTCCGGACACTGAGGATGGCCGGGGAGAGGCCACCTTCGCCAGAGGGGATTGTTCATGGCCAAAGGAGTGATGAATGTGGGGTGAGAGAGGGGAGGGCTCTGCTGGTGAGTTTGTTTGTATGGGAAGGAAAATGCTTCTGCCAGGCAGATCGATGCCATATGCACCAGTGTACTCAGGTTTCTCCTATTTATTGTGGACGGGAAGTTTGCCTTCTCCGCCGGGCACACCCAACATGAGCTGGCACCAGGGCCTAGGGAGCTCCCGTCCCCTCCGTAATCCGTGTCTCCTTATCCTCTGAGCATCACCCTTCTTTCCCCATCCTACCTTTTCTCTATTGGCTTAGTTTTCTCCTCGAGGCTTTGTCATTGACCCCTCCCCATACTATCCCTGTACCTTGGGGCTCCTCCCTCTGGTCCCCTAGTCACGTACCAACCTCTGAGCTTTTCTGTGCCGCTCCTCTGCGTCTCCCGGACTCTGAGTTAATCCTCCCTCCTCACTGCTCCTCATCCACTCTGCAGGGTCTTGGCAGAAGTTCTTTTGGCCCAGAGGCTGAGAAGGGGGGTAGGGAGCCCCACAACCCCTCAGTATATTACCCACTAGAAATCTTGGGTCTTAGGGGTGGGAACAAGGGGAAAAAACACCCAAAGAAGGGTTTTTTGTTGTTGTTGTTGTTGTTCATTTTTGAGGGGGAAGTCCCAGAAATTTAGGTTGCTTAATATTTTAGGCCTCTTATTTTTGTAAGATGTGTAGGATTTGCTGTTTTTCGTTTTATTTTGACAACTCAGGAAGAAACTGACCTTAGAAAGAATGTTAGACTTCTGCTCTCCTGTTCCCCACAGGCCCCACCCCAGGGGAGCAGATTCTCCCAGACCAGAGAGACTCGGGCTGATGAGGAAGACCAGACATGAGCCTCAAACTGCTATTGCTGGGGCAGAAGCAGAATGTAACTAAAGGCTTCCTCCCCAGGCCCAGCTTGCAAGGGAGAGAGGAACGGGAGCAGGGCCCAGCAGAGGGCCAGGGAGACTTGCTGCTTCCTTCTGGCCAGTCTCCTGTGGGCCCCAGTCCTCGGCTTCAGGTTTTCTGGGAAACTTACAGAGGGTTGGGGTACTCTCGCTCATGTCCTGCCTCAGGTGACACAGTGGAATGTTCTCAGGTCACTTGCTTAGTCAGAGGCTCCCTATACCAGGCTCCAGAATGAAGATGGCCTAGCCAGAGCTCTGGCTGGCACAATATTGACTACTAGGAGCCAGGCCTCCTGTTTCTCTGGGACCTGTCAGAAGGGAGAGCACGGCTCTGGAGACAGCTCTGTGGGGAATGTATTTACTTGCTCTCCCAGATTGTGGGGCCTGGAGAGAACAACATGACAGAGGAAATGGAGCCCTTCGCTGCAGACCCTGTTCCTCCTGCTTGCTCCCTCCGTGGGGCTTCAGCTGTTCAGCCCCTCAGCCCATTTCACAGTCTTTGGTGCAAAGAAGGAGCAGTCCCCATCTTTGTCCCACCCTAGCCCCCTACTTGTCCCTACAGTTCCTAGTCCTCCTCACTTTCTGGGTGCTGAGGATGGCATGAGAGGCGTGGCAGGGGCCAGGTACTGAGGGCAAGCGCTAGTCTTGAGTGTGAACGAGAGAGCTGCTGTGCAGGCGCTAGCCTTGAGTGTGAATGGGAGAGCTACCAGGCAAGCGCTAGCCTTGAGTGTGAACGAGAGAGCTGCTGTGTTCCCTTCGTCCTTGTTTCCTCCGAGCCTCTCTCTGGAGCCAGAGGCCACAGAGCGCTGCTGCCAAAAGATCCTTGGTGGGAACATGGAATAAGGGAGTTCTCTCAGGTCTGGGGGTGGGGTGGGGGGTAGAGGGGCAGGGAAGTGAAGTTGGGAACCCAGCTGTCCCTTCAAGTAGCAGCACCTCTAGGGGGTTCATGGACCAATCCCCAGGGTCCCTACATTTCCTTTGCTGGGCTCTTTCTGTTTCCAGGTTTGGAAGCTTTGCACAAGAATCAGCCCCTGGCTGCAGCACCTACCTCGTGAGCATGGGGCAGGATGGCAGGGTGGGTCCAGCCCTAGCGATGTTGGGGGCATACCAAAGAATCCAGGGGTGGAGTGCGGGGGTGGGGACAGCGTGCCCTGCAGGGGTGGGCACATAGGCTGTCCACTCCCTCTGCTAATATTGGGTTGGGATCCTCTCCTTCAGCTGTAACCATTTCTACCTCATTTTGCTGTGTGTTGTACATGGACATATTTATCTCCTGTCTGATAATGCTCTGCAGTTGTGGTCTGTCTACCTCAGAAGAGACTGTATTTTAAAAGAAAAAAATTACACAGTATTAAAGTATGACATGTGGTATTCGGAGGATTTCTTGGGGTAGTGGGATGTGGGGAGCGTTGGCTACTCAGGTTGTTTCTGTTCCTTCAGCAGGAAGTTATGGGACTTTGCGGTTCACCCCATGCCCGTGGCTGTCATTCTCTGACCAGAGGTCACATACAGAGCCTTCCATCTGGTTCTGGATGCTGATGTGAGGAGCAATGACGTGTGGGCATGTTTGTTGAATGAATGCATGAGCAAAAGGGGGTGTGAAGAGGAAGAGGGCCCTCGAGCATGACAGCAGCCCTGCTTGAGCAAGTGAGAGTCATGCTTGTCCCCTACAGGGGAGAAGGCAAGGTGTGGAGACCAAGTCTGGAGCCCCCAGCACCCATGTAGCGCACTGGGTTGCCATGGCAGAACACCTGAAATTGCAGCCTTTGGAAGGCAAAAGTAGGGGCTCCCTCAGAGTAAGATGTGAACTCTGGGTTCAACTGTGAGACGCTTACTCAGTGAATAAGGCAGAGAATGGTGGAGCCTATCAGACTCAGGCCTGTACCAGTACACACACACACACACACACACACACACACAGTACACACGAGTAGCAAGTCAGGAACCTTCACAGGTGGGAGGGGTAAAGGTCAGCAAAATATGGAGGCTGGAGAGAGCATTGTTGACATCGTTCATGTTTGTTACAAGAGCATAAAATGGGGGCAGCAGTAGGGAGACCTGAGGTGGGAGGAGTCAGGCAGGACCCTAAGCTACCCTGAAGTAGCCTCTGCATGTGGATGGGAGACTGGTTCACAAGAATCCACGCTGAGTTTAACAGACCTCTGCTGGACACTTAGTCTCATGGACGAGGCTGTGCAATGGTGTAGGGGCAGTGTGCTGGGCATGATGGTGGGAGCGGGATTCTTAGAGGGGCTACGATGTGTGTGACCAGTGTGCGTGGCTTCCTGAAGGCATGGGATAGCAGGGTCCACCATGGAGGCCAAACTGCCAGACTGGAAGCCAAACCATAGTCAAGCCATCTTGGAAAAAGATGTGTTAGATAAGTGGGGGTCCAGTGTGATGGCATGGAAGAACTGGGGGTTTGCCCTATTCTGAGAAGATGAGGGTTTAGACTAGCAGATGCCAGAGCATGCTGAGAAAATCTGGGCCAACTTGAATGGAGAGCAGCATCCAGAGCTGCATCCAGAAGTAGGAGGTGGGTTTAGATTAGGCGTTTGAATATAAGGCCGGGACTGCCACCCAATCCCCACCTTCAGCGGGGGCTGCTGAGGACCCCTTTCCCTAGACCCTGAGCATTCAGATATGTGCGCCCCCCGCGTGGTAGCTAACTCCTCTCTAGCAGCAGTGTTCCGTGTTCCACGAATGTCCCTCGCCACAATGCCTGGCCTTGCGGCATTCGGAGCCCCTCCCTCAGACCCTGCCATGGCGTGGGCGCTGGTTCTGGCACTCTGCAATCGGGCGCTGCCCCCCGCGGGCGCGCTGGACGCCATGGGCCCTCACGCAGCAGTCCGCCTGTCGGAGCTGCTGACCCCGGAGGAGTGCGGCCACTTCCGATCGCTCCTCGAGGCGCCCGAGCCCGACGTGGACGCCGAGTTGGCCCGGCTATCTGAGGACTGGCTGGCGCGGCCCGAGCCGTCCACCCCCTCTCCTGGAGCGCAGGCTATCATGGGGCAACGGCGGCGGGCTGCAGTCACGCAGCCATCGGAGGGACAGGATGGCGTGCCAGCCGGGTCCAGGGAGGTGTCCGACGGTTGCCGCGAGGCGCTGGCGTCCTGGTTGGCCGCCGAAGCCCCGGTCCTGTCGTGGGACCGCGTGGCCCGGGCGCTACGGCGCAGCGGCCGCCCCGATGTGGCGCGGGAGCTGGCTAAGAACCTCCACCAGCAGGCGACATTGCAGCTGCGCAGGTCAGGCGCGAACTACGTGCAACCGCCCGTGGCCCCCGCTCCCACCCCGGCCCCGCGCGCCCGCCGCTCCGGGGTCCCCGCGCCCTCCTGGGACGATTTAGAGCTGATCGTGGAGCGCCTGCCGCAGCCCCCGTACACGCGAAGCCCAGCAGCCTGGATCTGGCCGCTGGTGCTCGGCCTCCTCGTCGGCTTCGTGGGAGCGCTGGGCACCGGGGCGCTGATCACCGTGCTCACGCTGTGGATCACCGGCGGCGACGGCGATCCCGCCCCGCGCGCTTCCTCCGGGCCCAGGCCGTCCCCAGCGCCACGCCGCTGGGAAGCAGAGCCGCTCCTGCCCCGAACCTGGGCGCCGCAGGGACCGTCCCTCCACGGCCCGCTGCTGTGAACAGCGAGCAGCGCGCCCCATGGCGCCCCACCACTATAAAGTTTCCAAAGGCAGTAGAGGGCGCAGTCTGTGACTGGATGGATGGAAATGGGTGGCGCCGGGCCCAGGCATCCCCAGGGGTTCCCCAGCGTTGGCCAGCGTCCGCCGGCCGAGCCATGCTTTTGGATACACTCTTGTATCCATTCCACGCCAGGAAGCTGCTCACCATTCATTCCTTAAGGGGAGCAGCCGCACTCTTGACTCCGGGGCTGCCTGGAGCTCGGGCCCTGCTGGAGCGTGCAGCACTCCATCTTTTGGGCAAGGCCTCCTGAGGGCACAGTGGGAACAACCCTGGCACTTCCCCACCCACCACCAAGGGATGAGCGAAGATTGGAGAACCTGTAGCCAGGCAGGCCCAGGGGAAGGGGCTTGGGGCAAAAGCCATGACAGAAGGACAGGCCAGTCCAAGAGGAGAGTTGAAAACAAGATTGACGTAACCCTTTATTGCAAATTCTAAAGTAAAAAGATGTACAGTACAAAGTAAAATTGAAAATTCAGACTATAAACTTCCCATCCACTTACACATTCTCATTTCTCAAGCATTTCTGCCATTTCCGCATGAACAGAACAAGGAAAGAGTGGAGGGGGTACGGAAGGAGATACAGCAAGGGAAAGAAAGAAAGAATCACAAACCCCAGAAGCAAGTGCAAGGAAAGACATTTCTCGACCTGCTGTCCTGGTGATGAGAAGCGGGGGAGTGGAGCGGTGCAGTTTAAAATGGCTCTCAGAATAGCAGCGTTTATGGGACTAGTTCATCTTCCTCAAGTCCAAAGTATGCTTTGCCCTTCCCTGGCGCCTTGGTCTCTGTAGCTCAGAACGCTTTACAAAACATCTAGTTAAAGCCTCACAACACCCCTGTGAGGTAGGTCAGTATTATTACCCCCATTTTACAGATGGGGAAACTGAGGCACAGAGGTTAAGTGACTTGCCCAAGGCCACACAGCGAGCCAGTGGTCAAGTTAGGGATGGAACACAGTTCTGTCCCTTTTCTGGAACCACTGGACCACGCTCCCCTTTACCTATGTACATTCTTCACACACACACACACACACACACATACATACACACACACACACACACCACATGTGCACACCTGCCCACTTCGCCCCACTTAGCCTCTATATACAGCAAACAGCAGTAGGGGCAGGGGCAGGGGCGCCTCAGGAGTGTTTTAATGGAGGAAGCCTTGAGAGGCAGATCCAAGCAGCACTAGCCTGGTGCAAGTCTTGACCTCACACCCAGATTCCTCTTCTCCCGAAGCCCCCCTCCCCGACTGACTGGTGGCAGCTGATTCTCTAGGGGGTGGGGAGTACCTGAAAAATGAACGAAGCTTTTTGCAAAACTTTGGGCAGCATCTGAGAAAAGAAAGAGGCATCATTACAGAAGATGCCCAGGACTCAAGTCACCAAGTCCTAACCCTCCACAGAGGGACAAAGATGGGGACTGACCTACCAGCCATCTCTCTCCAGTCAGCTACTAGAGTGGACTAGAGTGGGCACTTCAAGATCCTCCTGAGTGTACCTAGACCAGGAGACACGGCCTGGAGAGGGATGTCCCCGAGGGGATCAGCCTAGTCTGCTGGTCGGATTGTGGGAGCCGATGGAGGCCAGCCCAGCACTAGCTCTTGGAGTAGGAGCCCCTGGGCAGCATGCTTGCACTAGCTTTGGGGGTGGGGCCAGTGTTCCCTTAAATCATTTCCGTGAACAAGGCAGAAGTAAGGCCAGTCCAGCTGGGTTGACTGAGGTCATCTCTGGGGTCTGCTGGGTGACACAGCTGAGGAGGGTCCAGCCTAAGGAATGCCACATGCAGTGGGCAGCAGGGACCTGGGCATCAGGACCTGGCTTTTCTCCTCAGTCTCTACTTAGCCGGCATGGGGAGGTGCTGGCTCTCCTTTCTCCAAATGCTCCAGGGTCCCCAGTTCCCAGACCCTACCAGAACTCAAAAATGGGCAAGTTGAACAGCAGCCATGGAGACAGGCTCCCCTTGTGTGGTGAGAAGGATCACTTTTATTGTTTCCTTTTGGTGTATAGTAATTGACTTTTTAAAATCATGTCTCATTTAGCTCGGCGTTGGCTTCCATGGATTCACTAACAACGCTCTATTGGTCTCTGACAGGCGAAGCGGGCTGTGGAGATAATGGGAAAGAAGCCCTTTGGGCTGTGGCTCCAGGGGCCCTGCTCAGGAGCTTGTTTCTCTCTGCCCACAGCTTTAGATGCCCAAGTGGCTCACGTCCAGAGGGAGAGAGCAGGCCCTGTGGACTCGGGAAGCTTCCCTGCTCTCAGCCTCTGCTGAGTCCCAGTCTCCTCATCCTAAGCTGCAGGAAGTTAAGGAAGAGGGGAATGTTTTTCATACAGCCAGCAGTCATGGTGGCTGCTGCTTGGGGTGAGGTGGGGGGAGTGGGGGAGTGGCTTTGGCTCTGCGTTTAAATGAACAGCATCACATGACTTTTTGCTTTTTGTCTTTTTTATTTTTAAAGGAGATTGTGGAATATAAATACTGCACCAAGGACCCGGCTACAGAAAAATAAATATTTATATTATATTTATATATCTATATATATATGTGCAGTGGTACTGGCTGCTGCTGCTGCTGCTCTTTGATTGATGGGCTTTGTGGATATTTGGCAAAGCGTTGCCACTTGCTCACTCTGTGAGGACATGAAACAAAAAAGAGACCAACCAAAAACTGCCATAGCCGTTCTTTAGGTTCAATGCCTGTTGACTGCGGTGAGAACTGCTGGTGATGGTGGCCTACGGAACAGAAGTGTGGAGCAGGGTGGACAGAGAGCCAGGGAGGAGGGAGGGAAGAAGGGGGAGGGGCAGCAGGTGAGGGCTGCTCAGTGGGTGGGGGTGGCTTCTTCCCTGAAGCTCTGGCTAGCTCTCTGAGGGTCAGGAGCAGGGGAGGACGGTCAGACCTAGGCTCTAGGAGCTTATTGACAGTACTAGCATGGCGCCTGGTGTTCCTAGCAAGATCAAATAGCTATTGCCCATCTCAAGATCTAAGAACAATGATTAAGTTTAGCCAAATCTTGCATAGAAGTGGTTAGAATTTATTGCACATTGGAACAAAAATATATTTTTGTTGTTTTGGAAAAGACCATTAGCAATAAAAAATTTTTTGTCTGTCTGTCTGGTTGGGGTGTACATTGGCTGACAGCATCTAGTTCTAAGAAGAAAGAAAGTATAAAAAATAAAAATAAACATGACAATGGCAAAAGCCAGAAGCCATTTCCTATTTAATAAGTTAGTAATTTGTATTTACAAAAGGCATGCCAATAAAATAAAATTATATATTACAGTATTTATAATTCTCTTAAAAAGAATAACCACACACGTCAGCTTCTGTTTTGTGCTGTGTAAGACGCCACCTGTACGTGGTTCTCTACATTCGCCCTAGCAGCAGCGGCACGGATACACTTCCAGGCTGGTCTCAGCACGCTTAGGACAGCTGGACAGTGTCTACCGGTCCAACAAGAGAGAAAGCTCTGCTCACTGACTGGCTGTGGTTTGTTCTATGCAAAATTAGTCGAGTGGACTGTGAGATTACATCCAAAGTGCTTCTACTGCAAGGCAGATTGGTCTAGTGTGTCTAGTGGTGGACTGCTTACTTCCCTATACCCTATGCTCAGGAAGGATGCGTTAGACTTGGTTCAGAGAGACTTTCTGACACTTAAGTGTGGCATCCTGGCTTTGGACCCCTGTGGTCAGGTGAGATGCCCCTGGACTAACAGCTGCCTTCTGCAAAGCAGGAGATGGGATGGAAGATGTGGTACTTCCTCAGAAGCCATCTCCCAACGACAGTGGGCAGGCCACTAAGCAGACAGCAAGGTGGACAGAAAGGAAATGCCAGGGAAGCTGCAACACCCGAAAGAATTACTACGGAGTCCCTTTCTCACAAAACCCAGCGCAGTAACAAGACTAAGTGGGCTCGGCCCAGAGCTGGCTCAGTCTCTACCTCAGGTCCTGCTAGTGACCATTATTCTGAAGATCACAAACGGAAGAGCTCATAGCCATACCACAAGCAACGCTGCTGCCTTTACCCAGCCCTGGACAGCTGGGAAGGGAAGTCCCACTGGCTGAAGGAATGTGATGGAGGCAGGAAGAACCAGCAGATGGGAGCATGTGATAATCCCTCTGCAGGTCTAGAGTTCCTGAACCCCTTCCCACATCTACCTGAGCCTGAGAAAAGCCATAATGTAGACAGACATGACACTGAACGATGTGAGCACCCCATGACCCCCCAAAGGCCTCCTAGAGATAACATACCACTACGGATAGCACTTTTACCTCTCCCCAAGTGTCAGTTCCCCAGGATGAAGGCTAAACAATCATTATAATATTGCGAGATACAAATGAACTCTTTTTCTATTTTTTTTCTTTTTTTTCTTTTTTTTTTTTTTTTTTTAGCCCTAGGATTTGGTTTTACAGTGACATTAATAGTACAAGCCATTCGGGGCCAGAGTCTCCCCATGTTCTGGACAGAGCAGCATTAGATAGTTTACCTTGCAAATGTGCAACAATGGCTGTATGTTGAGATGTCTGTTAAACATGTACACACAACGGATCCATCTGCTTGTTGGGTTGGATTGGTTCTGTTGGTGGTGGTGGTCAATTTCATACCCAGAGGTATGAAAGACTTCTAAGAACTCAGAAAAACTTGCAGCCGGTATGGAACTCTTACCATTTCCCCAAATACAGTGAACGGTGCAGGGCTGGGTCCTGTCCAAAGGCTGACCCAATGCAGGGGTGTGTATGGATCTCATGCATGACTTCTGATCACAGCATGCCATCATGCAAATCATTTCTACGCATTGAACGAGCACAATGTTTGGAATTGGCCTGAGCAAGTCCTCCTCAGCCTGAAAAACCCTGATTGTTTCCCCCACCCATCTCCAAACCGCGTGACGCCCATGTGGAGAAGATGCTGTTTATGTCAAAGAAATCGACAATTAGTGACATTGGCTGAATGTGTGTGTGTGTGTTTCTTTTTGCTGCTTAGATTAACTAATGTAAGAATGCAAAATTTGTTTGCATGAACAAACTTTTAAAATGATGCTTTCTGCTTCTGAGAATTAACAGATGAAAACATAAAATCCATTTGGCTGCACGGCAATCTGCTGGTCCCGGCAGCCGCCTCTGTTTTGTATCCTGTTAGTGTAGTCCTAAGTTGCATTGACTGAGTGTGGAACATGCAGTAACCACCTGTCCAAGCAATAGAAAATCTTGAGTCCAGGGAGCAGGGTCCTTTGTCCTCGGTAGGTCACTGCTCAAGATGCAACCGTGTCCCACATAAGCAGACTGTTGGGTCTAGGTTCCTTCCGGCACAGCGTCTCCACAGCTGCTCTGTATCCGTGAGATCCGGAAGTTCGTAAACAAGCTGTCACTTGCCTGAGTTAGGCCAGTGTAAGCTCCCTTCCCGTTCTCCTCTAACACTTGGACTCTCTGAC